CCCTACTGAAGCAGCCCCATGAGTTCAATGTCTAAGTGGAAAGCAGTAAGAAGCAGTGTCCCTCAAGGGCCTATAATGGGACCAATGCAGTTTAGTATCTTCATCAATGGCATGGATAGTGGGATTGAGGGCACTCCAGCCAGGCTGCAGGTGACGCCAAGCTGAGTGGTGCACTTGATACACTGGAGGGAAGGGATGCCATCCAGACGACCAGGACAGGCTGGAGGAGTGGGCCCCTGTTAAGTTTATGAAGTTCAACAAGGCCAAGTGCAAGGGTTGGGGCAATCCCCAGTCCCAGCAGAGACTGGGGGATGGATGGATGGATGGATGGATTCATGGATGGAGAGCAGCCTTGCAGAGAAGGACTTGGAGGTGCTGGTGGGTGACAAACTGGACATGAGCTGGCAATGTCCACTTGCAGCCCAGAACCACCCCGTGTGCTGGGCTGCACCCCAGCAGCGTGAGCAGCAGGTCGAGGGAGGGGATTCTGCCCCTCTGCTGCGCTCTCCTGAGACCAGCCTGGGGGTCGCTTTTCTCATGAGGGAGAAGAGTCACTGCAACAACTTGCAGCTGTCCAGCTCTGGGTTTCATCCTCTCAAGAGGGAAACATGTCCACCAGGCACAGGGCTTCAGAGCTCTCCTCTGCTGCTCTGCTTCAGGACTGTAGAACCCAATGCATAGGCCAAAAACCACGAACTAGAAAAGAGTTTCCTCTGCCCAGCCCCTGGGAGCGGCTTCAAAGTCACCTACAAGCATCGCCCGGCTCCCCTAGCAGTGCCAGCTACAAGTACTTGTGCCCTCTCCTGCGCCTGAGTTCATGGCCAACATCTCCCCACCTCTCCTGAGCAAAATCTCACAGGCATAGGGCTTGCTCCAGCTCAGAGCCAGCCGGCTCCTGAGGCGCAGCCAGAGCTTGGTCCTCAGGACAAGCACATCAGAAATCCAGACCTCAGGATGAAGCAGCTTCCCCATCATCCAATGAGCTGGGACAACCAAAACCTAATTTTTGCCTCCCGCTCCCAGTACACGTAATCCTGCACGAAGGTCCAGCAGGTCCAGGGCCGATGTCCCTGTGCTGGCAGCTGAACAAGGAATCAAGGTGGTTTACATGCACCGTGCGCTCTGATCAGCTGTTTCAGTTGTGCAAGGTTAGTAGTCATTACTGCTGCTCTACTCTAAGTTAGAAGCATGCCTCTCGAGTGCTCATAGTGCCAGGGTGACGACCCTTGGAAAGCACCAGCAAGGTGACAGAGCTCAGCGCCACAACCTCGCTCTAGCTAAAAGAATGGCAGCGTAACTACAGAGATCAAGTGTAAAGCACACTGAGAGGCTCCGAGTTCAAGCACTTCCAGATTAGGATTTCAAGTCCTAGGCACCACACACGTTTCTGTGCAACACTCATGCATCTTTCGCTCAAAGGCATTGGGATCTCCACCTCTCTACTCGGATGGGAACGCATCCCAAAGCTTCCTTGTTATGATCACTGGCAGGGCTCAGTCTTGGAAAAAGGGGGCAATTGTGGGATTTATGGATGCTGTGGCAAGCTGGGAGCGAAGGAGGGCAAGGCATCACCACAGGGGCACACCAAGAGGTGCTTCTCAGCCCCAGTGGGACAAAGCCAGCCCATTCCCCCAGCTCTCAGCGCCCCCAAGAGCAGCAAGGAGCTGAGGGAACAGACCTCCAGCTCTCCCCAGCACAAAGCCTCTCTGCTTTGCATTTCCAGAGGATGCAATGGCTTCCATTCCTGGAGGAGTGAGCTCAATGACAAAGTTAATTGGCACCCGCTGGAGGAGGAACATGAGCCGAGCAATAAGGTTTTGGCACAGGACCCATTTGCCAGGGTGGCCGGACGGGGGCAGAACTGCTCCGCAGCAGCCGGTTGACTATAAATTTAGAGTGATCATTACTAAGGAAACTTAAGACCTTTCCCCCCTTACTGATGAAGCAATCTACCTACAAAGCTATGAAAGAGAGAGGAGCTCAAGCAATGCAGCACTAACTGCTCTCAAAGCCCTCACCCAATTTGTCTGTGGATGTGATAATATCAGCTGGAAGGGAGGAGTCCAGATCTGCATCCAAGATGCCCAGTGGGTCGAGTTGTGCTACATGATGCCCTCGAATCTATGAAATGAGCCAGGAATGGAAAGGAGAACAGGTACCAAGAGGGAGAGGGGAAAGGGAGAAAAACAAAAGAGGGGAGGGGTAAAAAAGTTAAATTACATTAGAACAAATTTGCAGAGTAATTCTCACCAACGTTTGAAGAAACAGTTACTGGCGCATCATCAAAATTTACACAACTAATGCCAAGAGGATCAAGCTTTGCAATGTGATGACCCCTGACCTGGAAGCAACAACACAGATTAGTCATTAACACATGTTAATTGCAGAAACATTCCTTAAAATAAAAATAGAAGGCATGCAGTTTCCCTCTTTACATTTGCTGCAGAGCCACCCCAACTTCTGGCTGCAACTAAAGCCTGGAGAAGCCTGATTTACTTTCATCAACAGCACATAGGTGTGAGTACCACCAGCTTCAAGGACTGTTCTGCTTTGTCTGAAGCCATGGGCAAGGCAATCTCCTCCACAGCAGAGACCTTCCAGAACTGAGGTCCAAGGGTCTCCCACCACTTTTCCCGCGTCCAGCCTGAGCACCTCCTCTCTACAGATGCAGTAACTCCATACTGATGGTTTCCTCCTGAGCATCGTAGCAACCGAAGAGTCCATTTTCCAGATTTTGGCAGATCTAGGTGCTCTCTTGCCAACATGGCAGAGGAAACCAGCATTGCCACCAGCAGCAGTAGCTCCAGAAAGGTGTCTGAAGCACATGTGCCCATCTGTGCTACTAGAGATCAGCAGCTCACAGCATCCCTCTGGAGACAGGACCCTACAGCAGGAGTGGGAGCACTCTTCTGGGAAGTGGCAGGTACAGAACTACCAAGTTGCTCTGGCAGCAGGAGGCCAGGAGTCACCACCTGGGTCTGAATCCACATCGGGAGCCACAGAGGTAATGGTGAGTTTTGCTTTTGCCTTCACAAGAGATGGACACAGATGGACCTCAGCACATCTCGCTGGGCAAACTCCATTTATCTCAGGAGCAGCCCTCTCCACTTGGCATGCCACAGCTTAGTTCCTGACAGCTCCTGCTCTGGAAGCTTCAGGCTCACCTCAGCTGGGAGCGGGACACAACTGCCATGGTGCTGGTTGCGGTGCTGCCTTTCCACTGTGGGAACGACGCTCCCAACCATCAACACTGTTGCCAGTTAGAATAAGCACTTGTATACAAGGGTATTACTAAATCTCTTGCACAAACCACACATACTGCTCTGACTTTCTCTCCCACAAAGGCATTCCTACCCAGAGTGTCCCAAGGGGGGGTTAGGAAAGGATTTGTGTGGTTTTACCAGCCAGAGCCTGAAACTAGCCATTGGCATTAAGGCAAACTGCTAAGAAAGCACCAATCCCCTGCCCTGCTCTCTGCAGGGCCAGATGACAACGTGCCCCTGGGCACTGCTGGCCACATGGGAAGCTCTTCGTCTGGGCCAGCTTTTCCTGAGAACTATTTGCTTGTCTCTCTTGCAATAAAGCATGGGGCTGGCCCATCATCTAGCAGTTGGCAGCACATTGTTCCCCATGGCCAGGATGCTCTCACCAGGACCAGGAGGACACTTTATCCAGCAAAGAGCTTTGAGCCTGGAGTTCCTGGTGGCTTCGAGGTTGACTCAGCAGCCTGCAGGTATGCAGCAAATCCTCAGAATGGTGTGACAGTGAAGAGAGGGTCTCTTCCCCCATAGGAGCCACGCAGGTTGTTATTCTTCACATGCACCTCAAGCCTCTTAGCCCCCAACCCCAAACAAGACCACAGCAGGTATCTGCAGGAAGCATCACCCTGACTGGGACTTCAGCCACCCAGCTGACAGAAAAGCAATCCAGGAAACTACTGGAGAGGGTTGAGGACAACTTCCTAGCAGAGATGCTGGAGAGCCCGACCAGAGGAGAAGCAATGCTGGGCTTCTTAACCTCTCCAATGAGTTGTTCTGCATTAGTGAGCAAAACTGGAGGAAGCCTGGGCTGCAGCAATCACACCCTGGTGGAACTCTCAATCTTTAGGGTACAGGATGGGTAGACTCAGGACCCTAAACCTCAGGAAGGCAGACTTTTGGCTGGTTTGAGTGCTAGTGTGTGGGATCCCTTGGGGGCAAAGGGGTGAATGAGAGTGACATAGTTCTTAGGGTGCAAGAGCTCCCAGTCCTGACATGCAAGAAGCTGGCCAAGGGAGGCAGGAGGCCAGCTTAGTGAAGTCAAGACCTCTGAGCCAGACTAAAACACAGCAGGAAAATGCACAGGCTGTGGAGGCAGCGATACACATCTTGGGGAGATTACAGGGATACGGCCTGAGAGGGCAGGGATTGGTTCAGGAAAACCAAGGAGCAGCTGGAGCTGGACTTGGCTGGGGATGGAAAGAGTAACAAGAAGGGTTTCCTCAGGTACACTGGACAACAAAGAAGGAAAAATAAACTGCACCCTGCAGTGAGCCAAAGAGGAGTCCTGGCATGGAGAGGATGGATCCAGCTCATCCAAGTAAGGAGTAGTTGCCTGGTGTTTTAAGTATGTTCCCTATCACAGGTAGAACTTCATTCTGCCTTCCTACTCTTTCATACCTCCATACACTGCACTGAACTCCCCCACTGCAGCTACAGCCCCACAGGGACACCAGGGTGGGAAAGGAGGTGGATTTCTCACAGGAGAGAACTTAGAAAAATACATCCAAGAGCAATCACGTCCCAGTGCTGCCACTCAGAGACTGAGGAGGTGATGGGAATGCAGAAAGGGTTACAGGCTTTGCGTTCAAATTGCTGACTTGAAGCTGCTGCTTCCACTTGTTTGAACTTGGCATCTGCTCTCTTGTTCCACCAGTGAGAGCTGCGTGGCCTTTAGAAACAGGTCACCAGGATCCACCTGAGCTGGAGCAAGCTGGCAGGGTCACCTCCCACGGAGCCAGTCACAAAGGAAGATGCAGGTCGTCACAAACAGGTCCCTCCCTACGGAAAAGCAGGCAGTGTCCCAGCACTGATGTCGGCTCCTCAGCTCTGGAGACAGGCAGGGACGGGCACCTTCAAACCAGGGAACAGGACCAAGCCTGGGCAGATCTTTGGACTTGTCCAGTGCTGCAGTTCTTGCCTTAACCTGTGGCCCTGTGTGCTGGATTTCCTCATATCTGAGCAGGAACACGACCTGCAGCAGGAGCTTCTATGCAGGAACAGGTCACTCTGCCACAGCACCTGGGTTTGTTCACTTCTTGCCACAGTCCCAGTGAGAGATCCCCACACTTGACAAACTGGAGTGCGATCAGAGGTACAGAAACACATTTAAATGTTCTCTCGAGTTAAATACTTGCTGGCCATCCCCTAGCCAACAGATGTTTCCTTCCTGCTTGAAACTTGTGTCTCCCAGAAGGCTGACTTCAGCAGCATCGGTCTGAGCTGCAGCCCAGCAGCACCACAGCCCACCTCCAGGTTGCAAATCATAAGGAGATGTTTCCTGAACTTTTATTTTAGGACCTCAGAAGATCTTTCAGCACCACAGGGGAAGCAGGATGGGTGTCCCACACCACTGCTGAGCATGGCAGGAGCATCATTCCAGAAGCCAGCAAACCACCAAGACCACCCCTTCCCTGCTCCCTTTGGGTGGCAATAGCTTTGATCTTCCTATTGTCCAGCAAAGCACCAGTTAAGCCTCTGCCCAGATCAGCAACTCCTTTTAAAAACCAGGCAGCCCAGCAGGCATCCAGCATGCTCTCCATGCCAAACACATGCATCAACTGCACTAACCCAGCCCAGCTCGACTACTACACACCCCTGTATGCAGGGCAGGCTCCTCCTCGCACAGTCTCCTTACCTGATAAGCCCTGATGAGAGACTGTACTGCAAGATGATCCTCCACCAGTTTATCTACGTTGGGCTGTGCTTGACCCAGGAACTGGGCTTGGGTAAGCGTGGAAAGGCTGGTACTGAGTGGAGGGGGGCTTTGGTAAGCGGTGCCTGGAGCAGCTCCAGCATTGGCGTTGCGAAAGAAGATGTCCCACGACTAGAGAAAGAGAAAGAAGAGAGGAGACAGGGTCATTATCCACGACCCAAACCCCTCCTCGCTCGGTGGTACCAGGGTCACAGCTCTATTGCCAAAGCGGGAAGTCAAATCCCCCAGGGACAGAGCTGCCCCCTCCCTATGCCCCAGCTCACACAGCCACTGCTGAAGGCATCTGCTGCCTTCAACAAGAGAGCACCAAAGCTCTCCTGCCATTCTAGTGATGCCATTATCCCTCCTCCCATCCCTCTGGATTATTTCTTTTGGCATGAGACCATCCTCAGAGCCCTCCTCCCTCGGCAGCAGCAGCTGGGACAGGACATGGTGACACCCCTCACCCAGCTTGGCTCTTGAAACTGTGACTCTGAGCAACAAGCCCCAGCCTGGCCTCCAGGCTCTTGTTTCCTGCTTTCCACAAGACTGCCCTCTAAACACCCACATTACTTTCTGAAATGGTTTTGCCCTGTAATCAAATACACCTCTTCCTCTTTTCCATGGTTTAAATGGCCAAAGACCCAGCATAAGCCACATTGTCCAGCCCTGAAGCATCTCAGACAAAACCCAAGCTGACCTGTGTACTGGGAGAGGCAGCAGCAGACCTGTGGAAGAGGAGAGACCAGCAGAGCAAAGTCCAAGCCACATCCTCCTGTCACGCTCTTACCCCTGCCATTGACTGATCCCAAAGGACAAGGGCAAAGCAAACAGCATCCGTGTCCCGGCGCGTACCCGACACTGCAGCTGCAGCAGCAGGTTTCAGCCCAGGGTCTCTCCTCCAACCTCAGCACTCTGCATGCCCCGAACCTCGTGTGTAGAGAGCACCAAACCAACCCCACTGATGGTGCTGGAGTGGGGCCAGAGAAGGGCACCGGAGCTGGAGCAGGGCCTGGAGCACAAGTGTGATGAGGAAGGGCTGAGGGACCTGGGGGGTTTAGCGTGGAGAAGAGAAGGCTCAAGGGGGACCTTATCGCTCTCTGCAACTGCCTGACAGAAGGATGGAGCCAGGAGGGGGCTGGTCTCTGCTCCCAAGGAACAAGGGATGGGACAAGAGGAAATGGCCTCAAGCTGCCCCAGGGCAGGTTTAGCTGGAGCTGAGGAACAATTCCTTGCCCAGAGGGTGCTCAGGCATTGGAACAGGCTGCCCAGGGCAGGGCTGGAGTCACCGGCCCTGCAAGTGTTCACACACCATGTAGATGAAGCCCTCAGTGCCAGGGGTTAGTGGTGGCCTTGGCAGTGCTGGGAATGGTTGGACCTGATGATCTTAAAGCTCTTTTCCAACTGAATTGACTCTGTTCTACGATGCAGAGACAGGTGAAGCGCTGCCCGGTCAATGCAGCATGTTCAAACCACATCAAAAAGAGACATGAGATCAACTCCAGTGGGGGCTTGGGGCGGAAAACACAGCTTTTGCACCACTAGGAGGGTGGAGGGGACTGGAAACCTGCCCTGTGCCAGAGGAACACCAGCTCTCCCCCTTCCTCCATCACATGCCCCAAGAAGCTATTTCCAGCCCAGATTTACCCAGACATCCCATCACACACTTGCACAAGGTGAATATATTTAGAAACAGGTCACGCTGAAGGAACATAAACAAAATCTGGAATAATTTGGCACTGTAACTGATAAATAATAGCTCCCAAAAGGAAAGAGGGGAAAAAACCCACCCCAAAAGCAAAGATAGAAAACACCCGACCCTGCTCCGATTGCTAAAGGAAGGTTCAGTAGCAAAAGAGCTGCTTTTTGTATGATCCTTACTCCTGGCAAGGGCAGCCCAAACCCTTTCCCCTTCCTAGAATCACAGGTGCCCCCAAAGCCATTGGCTCCTGCAAGCAGGAGGTATAAACACCCCGAGATGGGCTCGGTGCCCTTGGGACAGGGAGGAAAATCTGGCTGGCTGCTTTGCGGGGGGGCTGAAGGTTGCTTTAATGCACTGGAAAATAAAAGACAGGCAAGAAAGAGCATCTGCCAGCCCAGGGAGGGCAGTGGCAGTGGTGCTGGGGGGACAGGGACAGAGCCAGGAGGCCTTTGTGACCTCCCCTCTTCTGACATTCAACATTAACCTCTGGGAGGTGCAATTTGCTTCTGTTTTGAAAGAAAAAGCTCATTCCAAGCTCTCCAAACAAGGTGTGGCACCAGCTTGGTCAGTTCAGGCACTTTCACTAAATGCTTTATTGCCCAACATAATTACAGAGTATTTCAGGCCAACCCTGGTAAAGGCTGTGGCCCTGATAAGCACCATGAAAACATCAGCCTTCAAGTGCTGGTGTGGTTTTGAATTGAGGACTATACAAGAGCCACCCCGGGGGTTTCTGGTGACCAGTGCAGGTGCCTCTGGAGCTCACGTACCCTCTGGGAGAGGCTGACCAGCCCCAGCTTTATCAAGGGAAGGACTTTGCCTTACTCCAGCCCTTGCTGAACGCAGCAGCAGTAAAACAAACCTCACTGGGTTATTCCCCTCCAACCCTCTCTGCCCATGGCAGCCCTGCAAGAGCTCCTGGGCTCTTACATATATACACAAGGTATAACATATGTATTGAGTAAGGTGAGCTCAAATTCACCTCATTTTTAGACCATCCTACAGCCACACGTCCCACCACAGCCACAGCACAAGGCATCTGCCAGACCAGTGTTCCCAGCAGGATGGGAGAGAGCTAAGTTCAGGCTTTAGAGGGATTCTGAGCTCAGTTCTGAGAGCAGAGCTCACCACAGGCTTCTCCCTCGAAAACAGCCCCAGACCAGCTCACCAAGTGAAACCAGCATCTTTTACTTCAGTTCTCAGTCTTGTTTCCTGGAGCAGGGGGTGGAGAAGCTGTTTCCTCAGAGCTCTCTCACACATGGCAAGGGGAGAGTGGTGACGTTTCCCATCCGCCACTGGGCACCTCTAATTGGGGTGAGGCTGCTCCAGGCTGGGAGGTGCACAGGGAGACATGGCCTCTACCTCCTGCTCAGGCTGTGTCCCTGCTCCTTTCTGCTGCCACAGACTTCAGGGAACAGAAAGCACTGACCAGACCTGCTCTGCGTGGTCAGCAAACCAGGCAGCACCTCCTGCTTCAGCAGCGAGAACAGGAGGAACATTCAGAGCTTAAGGCTGGAAGAGGAGAAGCCTGAACCAAAGTCACAGCAGGTAACCTGTGCTGAGAGTAAGGGGTCAAGCAGCTATTGATCTGCATTGCCTATGGACCATAACATAACCAAGGAACTTCAATGCTCCGTGGCACTCACTTCGGAAGACAGTATCGAAACCCAAACATTTCAAACTCTCAAGGAGACTCCTACCAAACCTGGGCCAGGCCCATTGTGAGCACGACTGCAAAGGACACAGCAAAGGCACTGCCCCGGGCTCTTGACATTGTGTCGGTGAAGCTGGGCCACGTGTGTTGTGGTCATAAACCCACTTCAGTGTCAAAATCAAACCACTGGCATATTAAAAGACCGTTTGATGCACATACCTATGGGGAAAGATGCATCCCTTTCATAGAATCATGGAATCAACCAGGTTGGAAAAGAGCTTTAAACTCATCAAGTCCAAGCATTCCCCAGCAGTGCCAAGGCCACCACTAACCCCTGGCACTGAGGGCTTCATCTACATGGTGTGTGAACACTTGCAGGGATGGTGACTCCAGCCCTGCCCTGGGCAGCCTGTTCCAATGCCTGAGCACCCTCTGGGCAAGGAATTGTTCCTCAGCTCCAGCTAAACCTGCCCTGGGGCAGCTTGAGGCCATTTCCTCTTGTCCCATCCCTTGTTCCTTGGGAGCAGAGACCAGCCCCCTCCTGGCTCCATCCTCCTGTCAGGCAGTTGCAGAGAGCGATCAGGTCCCCTCTGAGCCTTCTCTTCTCCACACTAAACCCCCAGGTCCCTCAGCTGTTCCTCATCACACTTGTGCTCCAGGCCCTGCACCAGCTCTGGTGCCCTTCTCTGGCCCCATCCAGCACCTCAATGTCTCTCTTGCAGTGAGGGGCCCAGAACTGGACACCAGTTCAACTTACATACAGGGGCTGCCGTTTGGGAAGGCTGAACTTGTCCCACATGTGTGACCACGGGTGTCATCTACGTGTGGTCAAAGCTCTCTGGACAGCTGCCCTGAAGCAAGCAGGTTGCTCAGGGTCCTGGGGAGCAGCACGGGCTGCGCCGAGCATCACCAGCAGCCAGCCCTGCATCGGAGCTGGCATAGCAGGGGCAGGAAGAGGGTGTCTCTGCTCCCTTGGGAAGTGGTCCCAGGAGCAAGCACTGATCCTCACAACCTCGCCTGCTCCTCCCGCAGGACGATGCTCTTACTTACTCATCAGCCTCAGGAAACCTGCGTTCAGCTGAAGGCCTGGACACAGAAAAAAAGCTGAATCAGCCTGTTTTGGGTTTTAATCTTTTCTACTTTAAACAAGCACCCAAATGCCCCCTGCAGTTTAAACCACCAGTGTCTGCACAGAGGAAGGGAATCCACTTTGCTCAGCAGGACAGTTGTGCCGGCTGGAGCTCTCATAGCTTTGATGGCAACAGCAAAGAAACCCCAGCCCTTCCCTGGTGGAAGGTCTCTCCCTCACCAGCCACAAGCAGCACAGGGAGGAGCTACAGTCCCTGCCCTATGCAGGGGACAGATAAGCCACAGCCGGGCCTGACCCTACACCTAAAAGGATGGAGGCCAGTGCTTATCAAGGACAAGGGTGTCACACTCCACTGCTGCTTCAGCGTCATGCCAGAGCACAGGAGCGGGGCCAGCCACAACCCTGATCCCGTAATAGCAGCTCAGTGTCCCAGTGGGGACAGGGTGAGCCAGGGAGCAGTGCAGAGAGGAGAACACAGCAAAGGGAGCAGTTCTTCACCATAACCACTGGACCAGGGCGCTGGCTGCCTACAGACGAGCTGATGAAGCTACATGGGCTACATTAGAGAGGCGACAAGGCCAGAAGAGCTCCCAGGGGTCTGGCCTCACAACCCAAACACACTTCCCAGCCAGCTGCCCCAGCTATTCTTGATATTTACCCTCACATCTGCTCAGAGCAACATTCAAGACTGAGCCAGGTCCATACGTCAAAGAGCCACTATCAGATAGTGGAGACTCTTTGGTAAAGACACAACTGGTGTAACCCTCTCTACAGCACTCAGATTCCTGGCTTTTAATTCAATATCCTGCCTCTGAAAGATGGGGTTGCACCACCTGAATGTACTTGGGTAGCTTTCAAGTCACTATTTGACAAAGGGCACAGCCCAAACCAACATGCTTTGTGTTTTCCGAGTTTGTATTGCCTGGCTTAGCATAAAGTCAACACTTTGTGAAAATCCAGCTTTGATCCTACCTTAAGACCTTTACAGCACCCCACAGGCTGTGCATTTTGGATGTGTGGGATCAGTGCACACACTCAATGCTGATGCAAGCATTGGGGCATAAGATTCCTTACTCAGCCCTGACTGTTCATTTAACCATCGTGTCCTGTACATACTGCTCATGTGCAACTGAACAGAGAAAATCCCTGCTCTACATCAGGACATGTGTGAAACTGTCTTAAAAATCCCCTGGGTAATGCTGAAACTTAGTCACTAGAGGAACATTTTCCTTGTGAAATACTGGGGATGGGGAAAAAATCAGTCAGGTTTCAGAAACCTTCCTCCCGGCTGAGCCCTCACCTATGGACTCGAGGCCAAAGAGCCTTCACCTCCCTGGAGGAGCTTCAGTAACTCAGATCAAGAGAGACCTCTGCACATACTGCCCATGGTCAGGTTGCTTTGCAGTGTTAAGTTCAGGAACAATTGGTGGGAATCCCTCTGGCCACCAGACCAGTCCCCTCCCCAGGCTGCAGATCAGCCATCTGGCTTTATGTGCACAAGCTCAAAATCAAGCTTAGGTACAGCCCACCCACCCCAAAACATAACACCATCCATGCCTGAAACACAAAATCAACCAGTGGAGATGTGGGGAATATACTCCCTGCCCCCCACCGCCCAGAATAAACCCTCCTGATGAGCGAGCAGAGCTGGAAGAAATGAAGCATCAGCAGCTTGTTGAAGGTAGATTCCCAGGAGAAGCCATTCCTTGTATCCACTTGCAATCCAGGATGCTTCCTGCATTCCACAAGCCCACGGCATTCCCTCTTGAACAGAGACACTCCTCTTGGCTCTTGCTCAAGGCATCACTGATGTTTCTTTCGGGCAAAGCGAGGCAGAAGGAAGATCCACAACCAGCTGGCCCCTCCGGTTGAACTCAGTCCTTCTTGGGACACGTGCACTTACCTGACCCCACTGCTCAGACACACAGAGAGAGAAGCGAAGGCGAGATGCTGGCGAGGTGGCTCCTTACCTTATGTACACTTTTGGGATTTTCCAGCCAAGCATAATACATTTCCTCCACGTAGTTTGAACTAGTCCCACTCAAAAAGGGCTCGGCAGCCACTGGTGCGCTGTAGCACCGGATCTGTTGAAACGTCCTGGGTGCTGCCAGCCTGTGTTGGGAAATTGTCTTTACAGTCTGCGAGGCCGTCAATGGCCTCAGCTTTGCCACACAAGTCCTTAAGTTAAGCATGTTTGTCCTGTCACTTCACACAAGCTCCTGTTGGGAGAGAAGGGAAAAGTGGGTTACAAATGAGTGCAGGAGAGCACAGAGCAGAGATCAACCCCTCCGCCACCCCCATCAGCCCTGAGCACGGCAAACTGAGCTTAGGACCAGTCTTTAATTCAGATTAACCCATCCACCCCATTCCAGGGATGGGAAACACAGGTTTTGGCCAAGGTAGCACTGTCCCATCACTGCTCGCATGGCCTTGGCACCCCCCAGCACGACAGGGAAAAGCAGATTTGTTTGTTGGGAACACAGCACTGGCCTCAACCAAGGTGCTGGACATCAGAACCACAAAAGCCTTTTTGTATCACCACCTGCATAAGGCATCCCTGATGGTAAAACACAGCCTGGATTAACAGTGAAAGTTACCAGATTCCCCCAGTGCTTCCTCTTTAGTTTCTAACCATCAACATCTACCCCTTTTCCAATGATAAATCCATAAAGTATTATCATAGAATCACAGAAGTTTTTGGGTTGAAGGGACCTTAAAGCTCCTCCAGTTCCAGCCCCTGCCACGGGCAGGGACACCTTCCACTAGAACAGGTTGCTCCAAGCCCCTGTGTCCAACCTGGCCTTGAACACTGCCAGGGATGGGGCAGCCACAGCTCCTCTGGGCACCCTGTGCCAGCGCCTCAGCACCCTCCCAGGGAAGAGCTTCTGCCTCAAAGCTCATCTCAATCTCCACTCAATGAGTTTAAACCCAGTCCCTCATTAGTCTGGATGCCCATCTCAGACCTTTGGAGGCTACAGGACAGCAGTGCACCATGGTGTGTTTGCTCCAAAGGCTTTGGTGCAAGGAAAGGAGCATGCCAAGTCATACTCTGCTGCTTCCATCCTCCCATATATTCCATCCTTCCTGCTATATTAATACTCTGTTAGTAACAGAGTAAGCATATCAAAAGTATCCCCCTTTTTCTTGTTGGCCGCCTAAGGAGGCATTTGGGAACAAATGCTTAAACTTGAACAGGGGAAGTTCAGGTTAGATGTAGGGAAGAAGTTCTTTACTGTGAGGATTCTGAGGCACTGGAACAGGTTGCCCAAAGAAGTGGTAAATGCTCCATCCCTGGCAGTGTTCAAGGCCAGGTTGGACA